TGGCATTGCATTATTTTTCATTCATAGTAATCTATCATTGACGTAATATCGATAATAATGTATTTTGCTTCCTCTCGCAGAGCATTAGAGATATGGAGATAAGAGTTGTTATGCTGCTGCCTAAGTTCTTTATGGAGTAGCTAACGATCAACGGCCTGCAGGGTAACGCCTAGACGAGCTTACCCGACTAGACCCACGCCTAGCTGCTAAATTTTATGCGAATCAGGCAAAAGCTGCTTATGTTTGGCCAGGACTAAGCTGCCTGGCAACCAGCGGCGGCTATTAAAGTCGCCATCTGTTAGTTTAGCGAGGCAACGAGAGGTGCGAGCGCGCCCAGAAGGGGGCGGAGCAGGTGCTATTTGCAAACTCCGAAACACTTTGATTTACGGCAAATAAACTGCATGAAGGCATAAACAGCACCAAGTGGAGGCAACTTTATTAAAATATGCAACGGTGTCAATAAGAGCCACGCCTGCTTTTGTTTTGCTCTGCTTCGTTTTCTTCCTTCTTTTTGTTTGGTTTTTCTTTTTTTTTCCCCTGCTGCAGCTTCATTAGGAAAGGTTCAATTTCCATAAACCATAAAGTTTTCCTTTACTTTCAAGGACGAGGCGTGGGCTGCAGGCGGCGTGCCTCGTAAAATGTAAAGGCAGCGCAGAAATAAGCTAGAGTGCTCTAGTGGGGTGTGCATGACTGCCAGATGCGCTGCATAGAGCCACGGAGACAGACGGACGGAGAGGTGAACGAACTGCTGGACGGCTGAATAGAAGAACAGCCCGACGGACAGTCAACCGGATCAAGATGGAGAGACGGGCGAACATTCGGGGAAAGATTGGACGAAAAGTAGGGCGAGCACTCACTCGGGCTCTGGGACAAAGAGCCTGTTACTGACCATAGACACGCCCCCATCTACCCCTTAAATTCCCATGCAACCAATATGCCCTGCTCAGCCACTTTCAATAAGTTAAGTGTGTATAGAAAAAGGGAAACAGCAAATCAAGTACCAAATGAAGGCACAACACGAAAACTTTTCGGGCAGCACACACACATGAGTCCACATACATACGTGTGTGTGTGTGTGCAAGTAAAAAATAAAATAAAGGTGTCACCTTATGGCGCTGTTAATTTTTCAGCTCGCGTGCGCACATGTCGAAGTAAACCTTTTGGGGGGCGCACGGCGTAAGCCGTAATCCGGCTGGCAACCTCGCCTGGCTGGCTGGAATATCCTTTATCCTCGCTGCTGTTGCCTGGCTGAAATATGCTTTATGCCGGCTCCTGTTAATTATGCGTCTACGTGACTCCTGCGCCCCGGGGACAGCGAGCGGCGAGCGCTTGTTGCGCTGCGTTTCGGTGCAGCGAAAGTCTTGAGCTCAACCTTGAACTGTTAAACCATATTTATGTCACAGACACACACGCACACACACACACGCATGCAGTGTATAAATGTAATATGCGCCATTTATCTTGTGCCACCCCCCTAATACCTAAGCCCCCAATCAGGCTTAGACTCCATATGCCAGCCGGTGTGAATCAATGCGAATTACTAAATGCCACCAAACCAACAACTGTGACCCACTGTCTGTCTGCCTCTCTCACTCACACTATCACTCTGCCCGTCTCCCTCTCTCTCTCTCTGCCAACCCACTCTGCTCTGATATAGCCGCAGTTGTTACACAGTTGCTCTGCTCGTTATTTGCATGCAAAACTCCAAATTGAAGTGCAAAGTTTTCAAATTTAAAACAAAAATAAAACAAGATAAAAGACGACTAAAATGGGCTAAAAACGAATTTCAAATACTCTTCACTTTCCTTTCATAGTGTATGAATATTGAAATAAAAATAAATTGAAATCAAAATCCATCGAAAGCTGTGAAGTTTATTCATAATAAGAGCAAAAGGAAATGAGAAAGCGGACAAATATTTATTTAAAATAAATAAATAAATAAAATAATATTGGATCGTATTTTAGGAAATTCAGAGAAAAGTCCAAATATTTTTATAAATGTTGAAAAATGTTTATGAATATCTTAAGTAAATGAAGGTAAGGAAACAAAGGCAAAGAAGAAGCAGAAGAAGAAGAAGGAACATATCCTCAATTATAAAATTATCTTCTCAAACTATATAAAAGTGTGTCCCCTAATCCGACTGCAACGAGGGTAGTTTGCAAAGCTTAGTTGCCAATACCAAGTCAGGCAAAAAGTTGATAAAATCTACGTACTCATAGAAACAGGATCTTCAAGGCGTAGTTCAGACAAAATCCGATATACCCAGCAAAGGGCATACCTAGAGCAAACACATGTGGGTGAGTGTCAGAGAGAGAGAGAGAGAGAGAGAGACAAAGAGAACAACCATGAAAAAACATGATTTATGAAGCAAAAACTTTGATTTGAATTGTGCATACGTAGATTGCGATGTGCCTGAAACTAGTTTGCAGAGAGCTGATTGTGTCTGGTTGGACTCGAGTCTCGAGACTCGTAACATGCAACTTGAGGTGTGCCAGAACCCAGAGAATAGAAAAGACCTTTAAGCAACTGTAGCTCACTTCATTATGCTGTCCTAAAGACAGCTCGCATTAGTTAGATATTCGGTTTAGTTTCCAGTTGCCAGCTGCCGGTTGCCAGTTTCCAGCTGGCATTAACATCTGTAATCAAGCTCAAAAGATGCCTTCCTTTAGGACCCGGCGCAGCTGGGGGAGTGTGACTGGGTCGCACGTCGCCTGGCACCGGCGCAAAGGTGCCATTGGGCTCAGCCCCCAAATGGCTGTAAAATAACCCTTTTTTCCTATTCCGGTTCGCCATCTAATGCATTATGCACGCCGCCCGAAATTAGCTTAACGATGATCTACTTTACGACTGCGGAAACGGCCGACCGACCGTTGGGCATCCCAGCTCGGCTCAATGGAAACTAAGCGAGCTGGACCCATCTAGAAAATGCATCGAATCTCTCGCTGTAAAACAATTTCCGTTAGCAATTGCACAATAAATAAACTGAAATGCGAAATCTCTGAACTCTACTGTCGGATACTCATTAAGATAAGTCGCTTAAGTGTGAGAGCAGGGGACTTTTGCTAGTTGAGAAACTTGCTGTAAAAGCAATTCAAGCTATATAAGGTTTATGTTGACATACCTTACAGACAGATGAGTTCATTTAGCCTACTTAACCTATTTATCTGCAAATCCTCAAATCTATCCGCTCAACCGTTCATCAGTTTTTCAAGCTCTACCTCCAATTCGTCCAAAAGTCTAGCGGATAAGTCGGATAAGTCTCTCCTCATGTCCTTCCTCTATTCATTAGTGTGTAAGCTCATCCGCCTGAACTGGATAAATCCATTGCCATCCATCCATCCATCTAACCCGAAACTAACGAATTTCTGAGAAAGGGTAGTCAGGGGACGACAAACACCGTGCCAGATGGTCTACACGAAGATAATTGAGTACAGCAATAAGCAGAAAATCAGTTGGAGTTGGCCGCAGACCTTGTCCACATTAGGCAAACTTCATATCGAGTTTTGGCATTCAGCTCTTATTACATGGCAACAAAGAGCTATCCATATTAGTTTCTTATACACACACACACACATGTATGAAAATACAAATGTATTTTATGCAAGTAGCAAGGACAATCTCTTAACATCTCTTGGCCTAGCTGTAATACCCACGGCTGGAGGGCAAAATTAAAGTCTTTAACTCGTTTACTGAATTCAATTAAAGGACAAAAATCCTTCAGGCCATGTCGAAGTACAGGCGAAAGTTCGGACGCAAAACAAATCTGTGGCTTTCGCAACGGCGTTGACAATGGAGACAAAAGGAGATGACACCGATGGGGCGCAAGGAGCAAACGTCCTGCGGCAAACAAACGTGGCCAAACTCCAATTGCCCGGCAATAAAAACTTTGCCCTTGCGCACGGACTGAAAGGCCTTCGGGGGCCACAGTTGACAGCGCTGGACTCGCTGGATGAGCCGCAAGGACTGCGACAGGACATCCGCATTCCACGCACATTCCTGCACAGACAAGCCAAGACAACAGCTGCTCAACTAATGAGAGTGCGCTAGTGGGGCATGCTCAACTATCGGTCTTCTGGCGCCACCTACAGCAGCGATTGTTCAAGCCCTCTACTATGAGTAGCTAGATGTAACTTGGGTTCTAGCTGTGCGATCAAAATGAAATTTCCTGTATATAATTGTGACCTTCAAATGTGAGTTCATGCCAAAGCTCAACTCACTAGCTTTGGTAGTTCACGAGATTGACGAGCGTACAGGTGCTTAACACACTAATCAAGCCTTAGACTTTAATCACGCCCACTTTTACCTTTTTCCCACCCATGCACGTAACAAATACGCCCTGTTAACCCATTATCCTTGGATTCAGGGTATACAAAAATGTAATTTGGGTCAACACTGCCAAGTTGAGGACAGATTTATTACATTTTAATTTGCTGGACAATGCCAGCAAAAGGAAACAAGTAAGAAGGCTCCAGTCGAGACTGCTCGACTAGGAGATACCCTGAACCCTCCAAGCTGATATTCTAATCAGTCTGGACTTTTTTTATGCACACATACATACACATGCACTTATCAGCACGCGCTCTGCTGACTGCGCAGTTAGCAGCGACTGCGCTTGGGCTGCGCTGCAATGTGGGCAATATTATGAGAATTTATTTGTTGAATAATTTCTTTTGTAGACATACGATCTTAATGAAACTTTCAGAGCGTAATCATATGGTTAAAATATGTGTACATTCCAAAGCACAAGNATATATTATTTTTTTTTTTTCCTTCCTTTATATATGTAATTACAATTCCAAACTTCTTTCATATTTCCTGCCTTTTCGGAAAAAAACATATTTCTTTTGATGCTCTGAGCAAGAAACGAGGAAAAAAACTCTTTAGCTCGGCTCGAGATGAACTTTTCGGCAAACTTCATCGAAGCGCGCACAAATTAAGAGTCTATTTACTCTTTCGCTTGCCCAACTTTGTTGCATGCTTCTATAGGGAACTAACTTACCTAAAGGGCTCGTCAATCCCTCAAAGCAGCTCTCCATTCCATTGCTCCATTCGTGCTCTCTCCCTCTCTCTCTCTCGCGCTCTCTGTCGCCCTTTGCTTTCTAATAACGAAACAGCGAAGCAATTTGGCCGCCAGATTTACAGTAGACGGCGCAGCGCCTGGAATTTAAAAAGGATAATTTAAAAGAAATTACGCCTAGGAGTGAGCGAGAAAGCAAGCAAAGACAGAAACAAACAATCACAAACTGGCAGGGTGGTATTGACTTTAAGATACCCTCAGGCAAATAACATAATAATAACATAAGCCACCCAGATATCACTTATAGACATTACAAACGAGTATGACTGACTAATGCCTAATGCCCAATTGAAAAGAAAATATTTCCTACTACCATCATATGCTTTATAGATCTATTTGCAAAAAAAAACAGTGCTAAAACAGATTGTCACAGTTTTATCTATAAAAAAACTTCTGTTATCTATTTACGTATTTGACTGATCTGCAGAAAAACATCAAATCCAAATCAAATCAAAATAGAAATAAATAAATAATACATTTTTTTCCAATACATGAATGGGGTATATCCAAGTGAACTTTATATCTAATTTCAAGTCTTCACAAAGATGAACCAATATACTCTTTTTGCGCTTGTTGAATGAGTATTTGCCAAAATCTCTCTAGCTTCTATAACCGCAAAATACTTTATGTTCATACTCCAAGTATCCCGCTTACATAATAATAGTGAACAGAAATGAAAGACAATGCAGAAAGCCGTTATATTTCTTCTTCCGCCTCTATACCTAAAAGAAGTTTTAGAAGTTTTAGAATGAACATAATAGAAATCGAAAGCTTTCAAGTTGGAAGGCAAACAAGGTCAGTTTGGCACTGACTAAACTACTATTTGGGTATATATACATCATGGATGCTTAATATATTTTCCTGCTACATATCTTTAGACAAGCCGCATATACCCACTTTACAAAAAATCGACGACAGCGATAGCAAAATGTGTGGAAAACTCGATTGAAACATTTTGTCAGCAAAGATTTTGCATGCGCTGCAGTAAATGAGGCATCTGAAGAAATCTGCGTAGATCATAAATTTTATTGCCAACTGCGCGAAACAGCGCAAATAGGTTAATAAGAAGGGGCTTAGCCCAGAGTCTGGCACGGCCGACTCGCCCCATCGAGACGATATGATAATTTATTCCACAGCCAGCATAATGCACTGCAATTGAGACAGCGAACGAGGCGCCTTTAACGGCAAACCAAAGACATAAAGAAAGAAAAGACTGATGAAAAAGAACTGAAATAGATCTACTGACCGCATAATACTCGCTCACAAACTGAGAAGGGAAGAGAATGGAAGACCTAATCATAAGTATAAAGAACGAAAAAGCTGATGAAAAATAACAATAGAGCATATACTGACTGTATAATACTCGCCCATAATTTGACAAGAGAAGAAATGAGAAAAGATCACATCTGTAGATAAGGTAAGAAATAAGAAGCTTATGAAAGGGATAATCTAGCCCAAAAAGAAAGAAGAGCAGAATAAATTTGACTGACTGTATAATACTCGCTCAAATCCATAGAGAAAAGAAGATAAAAAAAGAAGAGCTCACATTTATACTCTCTAAGATATGAGAATAGGGGCACAAACATTGCAAGAAGCCAATATACTCGCTCGCCGTGAGCGGGCATATGAAAAGAAACAGTTGATGACAAAAATTGTAGAAAATGAAAATAAACATAAAGGCGAGAATATAAATAATAACTAAAGTTGAGGCGTGGCGTGTGGCGCGTGGCGAGTGGCGTGAGGCGCGTGACACGAAGCGAGCACTTTGTGAAATTATGCGCGAACACTCGAAATCCATTTTCATCTTGCTGTTCGGGGCATCCTTTGGCTGCTTGGCACGGCTGTCAAACCCTTCTCCGGGCACCTCTGAGGTTAAGGCCCAGAGGTACAGCCGCGAGAGGAAGAGGGCGGGTGGGTATTCCCTGCATGTAAATGAGGCGACTTTGGCCAAATGCTCTACACTCGCTAAGATACTTTGCTTAGATATTTACTAGATCTCTCTCTCTCTCTTCGCTCCATCTCTTTCGCACACACTCATCTCTCTCTCTCTCTGTCTCTTACACTTGTTAATGCATCTCATCTGCTGCTGCTGCTTCTTCTTCTTCTTTGGCTTGTGAATTGGATTTTTGTTGTTTTTGGGGCGTTCGCCCAGACAGATTTTATGCTTATTAATGTCGGTCGCATTTTGTGTCGAGGCCCAGCGACGCCCAGACGTCGCCCGTTTTCCACTTTTTTCCACTTTTCCGGGCGGCCACACAGCAAACTCGTTCATCACAAAGCCCTGCGCCATGCCCCGCCCTCAGCCTTATGAACTTTATGAGCAATCATTGCAAGTGTGTTTTAACAAAATGTCAACAAATGAAGCTTTCACACAAATTATTCACAATATATATATGTGTGTGTGTGTGTGTATAAAGTGTATAAGTTATAGATATTATAATTACTTTATTCATACATTTACATTTAGTTTGGGAGAATCCATTTCTTCTCTTTCTAAGGTCTAGCCTTCACTCTGTCTTGTTCTACTAGATCTTCCATTGTTCTTCAATTGTGGAACTATTATTAGACTTATTATCTTACTCAGGTTTATTTACTAATAATTATGATTGTTCTTTTTCACATAATTTATCTGTTACTCCGAGATTCATGTTTTATGTCTGAATTTTACTAAGTCATATTCTCTTAACTGTCTCTCTTTCTCTCCTTCTCTCTCGCTCTCCCCGATTAACCCTTTCTCTTGCGTCATTAATTTACCAATCTTTTGCCTACTACAAATAGAAATGCCTACAACAAAAGAATAGGTCGTGCTTAACCGACTAGAGCACTCTCATTCAGCTCACAATTTCAAGCAACAACAATTCAATTTGGCAGGAGCAGCAGCAGCAGGAGCAGCAGGAGCAGGAGGAGCCCACTCCAAGTCCAACTCAAGCGTAACTCGCTCACCTCATTTACGGTCCAGTCAGGTGGATTTCATGGCAAATAGAATTTGTCCTTTAAATTCGACGTGAATTGAGTTTAAAGACAAATTTAATAATGATGCTGACGTCAGGCTGTGTAACTGTGAATATGCTATTTTTAGCTTAGCTTAGAATTGCAAGAGACCCACCAAGGTATTAAAAATCGTAGTACTATATAAAATAAAGATATTTACGAATAACTCCATACAAATAGAAAGGGAAAGGGAAGTAAATAGCTCCACAATTCAATATACTCATTTCTCACAACATGAATGAGCTTACAAACGTGAAACTTTCAAAAGAGAGGGGGAGAGAGAGAAAGGGGGGAGAAGGCGAGGCACAGGTGTAGTTTAATACAATTTCTTTAGCTCTGTTGAGGAATGCAAAGAATGTTGTTTAAAAGCGGCAAAAGAGAAAGAGGCAAAAAGTGTTGCCTACTTATTGGCGTCTCCTGCTGGATGCTCGCCCGTTCGCTGTTTCGTGACGCATTGTCACGAACAGGTTAATTTCGCTGCCACGTCCGTTTTTTTTGCTCGCACACAACAGCACTTCACATGTGTGTGCGTTTTTTTGTGGCTGCCATTTAAAGTAAATTTTTTTTTTTTTTTTTTTTTGTTTGTATATATATTAAAGTAAATGACTCTTTGAATGGGCGCAAAAAGTTGCTGCATACTTTTAGGGCTGCCGAATTGAAATACAGCGAAAGCCGCGCGGGATTTGCGTGTCATTTGCCTTTGAAGCAACCTATCGAAGAACGTTGCCAAATTAACGGTGGATCAGCATCAGAGGCTATCGATTGGGCATGCCCAACTGGCTAATACTCTACAATTATACTCTGTCATTGTTGATTTGTTGGACTTTGCTTTGTGAGAAGACCAAAGACATTCACACACATACACACGCATATACATTTGACATACACACAGACACACATATGCCCCTCCCCAACTCCTTCCACTTCCCATTCCATCTAAATTATATCTATACTCACATAAATGAGTTTCGCGTTTAATGTTGAATGCTTTAAAAGCTTATGAATTATTTAAGGATAGCTTTTCACTATGTTCGACATTAAAGTGCATTTACATTCATAGCCTAAACAGTTCTCGTCGTGAAATGCACTTAAGCAGAACGAAACAAGCTACAAACAGCTAGGCAGACAGACAGAGAGATTAACAAGGGAAAAGAACAAATGATAAACATATGGCCAAACAGACTGATGACAGACACCTCGGAAGAGAGAAAGAGAAAAAGTGAGAGAGAGAAAGAGAAAGAGGGCAGAGCAACTTGCAGAAAAAGCATTCAAGTGTACAGAGAAATATAATCAGATCGACGGAAAGAGCAAAGCTAAGCAGGCAAGCAGACGACAGATGGACAGACGGACAGAGGAGAAGGGAAGCGGGCAAGGAGACAGGCATATGGCCAGCCAGCCAGCCAGACAGACAGACAGACCTAAGGACAGAGAGAGAGACGGATAGACAGCCAACAGACAGTGAGGACAGAAGGACATGATCAGATGGATGGACAGGGCAACAGCTGGACAGACAGAGAAAAGGGACCGAGATACAATAGACCAGCTGAAAAACAGCTAGTTGAATAGAGAGATATGGCCAGATGAACAGACTGACAACTAGAAAGACAGAAGGACAGACGGACTGAGAAACAGAGGGACTGACAGACATACTGCATGACAGACAAATCATCAGACAGATTGAAGGAATGTGGGACAGCGAGAATGAGAGTTACGGAAAGAGCTTTAAAGACGCAGGCGGATGACAGACAGACTGACAGACCGAGAGAGTAACTTACAAGCACACTGCCAGATAGACAGACGGACGGACGGAGAAAAGTAATAGACAGAGGCAGATAGGCTGCTCTGGCAGAGAGAGATATATAGTAATATACATAAACACATGTATATTTCGTGTGTTAAGTAATAAAGAACATATAATATTATGAGCAATAGAAATTTCATAGTCTTCCATTCCTTCATTAGTTCTGAATAGTCTAACAGAGC